GCCTCCAGTGCTGCCTCACTTTGTTGAAAGATTTCAATTTTTAATCCATCAATTCCCGATGCCTTGTTCTTTGCTAATTCTTTCAATGCACCTTGGACTTCTTCAATATTTTTGGCTCTTGATCATATGCTACCTCTTAAAATGGTTGAACATCAACCATTTCCTTTTGGTACAGTGACTCTGTGTATTCTTTCCATCTTCTTTTGATGCTTTCTGCATCATTCAATAATTTGTCCAAAGAATCCTTCAGGAACAAAAGTTGAGACTTGAATTTCTTCTTCAATTACCCCAGCTTGAAAAATGATGAACATGTGATTTCCTTTTGGTTTTCTGACTCCAGATCTTTGCACATTTCATTGTAATATTTGACTTTGTCTTCTCGAGTTGACCTTTTAAATTTTCTGTTCAGCTCTTGTAGCTATCTCCTCATTTCTTTCATTTGCTTTAGCATCTCTATGCTGGAGAGCAAGTTTCAGTGTCTCTTCTGACATCCCATTTGACCTATCCTTCTTTCTTGTCTCCTTAATGACTTTTTTTGCTTTCTACATGTATCATGTTCTTGATGTCGTCCCACAACTCTTCTGGTCTTCGGTCTTTAGTATTTAATGTGTCAAGTCTTTTCTTCAGATTATCTCTAAATTCAGGTGGGATATATTCAAGGTCATATTTTGGCTCTTATGGACTTGTTTTCATTTTCTTCAGCTTCAGATTGAATTTGCATATGAGCAGTTGATGGTCTGTACCATAATCTGCCCCTGCCCTTGTTTTGACTGATGATATGGAGTTTTTCCATTGTCTTGTTTCCACAGATGTAGTCAATTTGATTTCTGTGTATTCCATCTGGTGAGATCCATGTGTATAATTGTCTCTAATGCTGTCAATGAACAAATCATTGATTTTGCAGAATTCTATCATGCGATCTCCGGCATCATTTCTATCACCAAGGCCATAGTTTCCAACTACTGATCCCAACCTTTGCAGTTCAGTCACCAGTAATGACCAATACACTTTGATTGCATGTTTGATCAATTTCAGATTGAAGGAGTTGGTAGAATTCTTTTTTCATCCTCACTGGCTTTAGTGGTTGGTGTGTAAATTTGAATAATAATGGTATTAACTGGCTTCCCTGTAGGCGCAGGGATATTATCTTATCACAGACAGCAGCGTTGTACCTCATGACTGATCTGTATATGTTCTTTTTGACAATGAATGCAACACCATTCCTCTTCAATTTGCCATTCCCGACATAGTAAACCTTGTGCTTGTCAGATTCAAAATGGCCAGTACCAGTACATTTCAGGTCACTAATGCCTAAGATATAGATGTTTATGCATTTCATTTTGTTTTTGACAATTTCCAATTTTTCTAGATTCATACTTTGTAGATTCCATGTTCTGATTATTAATGGATATTTACAACTGTTTCTCTTCATTTTGAATAAATGTTCTCAAAGGACATGGATGGTGATCATGAGGTTTACTTGAAACAGGGTATAAGGATATAGAACATTTATGAGAAAAAAGTCTGGAAAATAGACCTGAGGAATTTTTTTCCATCACAACACTGCACCTGCGCTTTCTTTAAGGGTTGAATGGGAATTGTTACCCCATCAACCCTCCAGCCTTGGTCTTGCCTCTTCAGACTTCTTTTAGTGCTTACAATTCAGATAACATTAAAAAAGAATGCACTTTGGGTTCCTTAAGAATTCCAGACATGTTATTTTGTGTAGTGTTGTGGTGCAGTGAATTATTTAATGTGTCTTCTAGCCATCTTTGTAAACACCCACCAAATAACTTTTTCCTGATGGATCTAGATAAGAGAAGGTTGTGGGGAGATGCTGATGGATTATGATTCAGTTGTGAGGATTGTTAACAAGGCTAATTGTGATTGATCGATTTTGCCATCCTACTGGTCAAAAATGAGTTTTCCCAGAAGCATGAATGGGGGAAATCACACTACCATCAAAGAAGCAGAACCAAAAGTGGGACACATCATTTGGACCCTGAGATCCCTGCACACTGACCCTCCTTAACTTAGGAACCAAAAGCTTTGACATCGGTGGATTGGCAGAGGAGAAACAGCAGCAGAACCAAAAGCCAGGACATTAGACAGAGAGTTCTAGCCCGTAGAGCAAGTTAAGCTGAGTGATGACGTTGGGAGGAAGCTTGCTAATTCATGGAACTGGAGTTAAATGCCTTTGGGCTCAGAATTATGGTAGAGTTGTGTGTCCTGTGGGCATTTATCAGCAGCAATAAAAGAACTTTGTAATATTGAGTGGGCAGAGGGAGGCCTGCCTGTGGGCATGTCTGAGAAGAGTCTGGAAGAACATTGCTCTCGGCATTTTCTGATCCTGCATTATAACCTGTTCATTTTCTTATTAAACCCCATAATTATCAATACGGTGTCTGAGTTCTGTGTGGCCATTGCAACAAATTATCAAACCCAAATGAGAAATAGAGATCTGTGGGAGGGATGGTTGTTGCATTTTATTTTTGCAGATTGGTATCAGACATGAAATTTATTGCAATAGCTCCAGGTTCATGAAAGTGTAGGGGATTACTAAGAGAAAGAACGAATGAGGATGGAAATTAAAGCTATTAATTCTTGGAAGGTTACTTTGGTTATTGTTACCTCTAATAACTGAGTCCTGGTGTGACGCTGTGGGTTAATGCCCTGGACTGCAAGGTTGGTTTGAATTGCAAGGTCAGTGGTTCAAGCTTACTAAGTGCTCCTTGGAAACTCTATACAGGGTCACCATGAGTCTGACACAATGGCACTTAGCAACAACGACATACTCTTTGGAGTACTAGTGTGGTACTTTGGGTTAATGTGCTGGACTGCAAGGTCAGTTTGAACTGCAGGGTTGGTGGTTCAAGTTCACCAGACGCTCCTTGGAAACCCTATGCAGGGTTGCTATGAGTCGCAACTGACTTGACAGCACTTAACAAAAACAACAACATGATAACTGAAAGAAATGTAAGAGATATAATGCTATTGTTCTGGCACTGTGGGTTAATGTGCTGGACTGCAAAGTTGGTTTGAACTGCAGGGTCGGTAGTTCAAACTTACTAGCTACTCTTCAGAAACCCTATCCAGGGTTGCTATGGGTTGGAACTGATTCCACGACACTTAACAACAGCAACAACACTGGAGTCCCTGGTATAAAAGCCTGGCTTGTTAAACAAAATGAGTAATTAGGGTCCAGGGCCTACTTGACCCACCCTACTAACCAGATGCCCACAGCTAGATGCACATGTGTGATGGAAATGGATATTGGGTATCTTGATTACAGAGAACTTGCCCACCTTCAGCCTATGCTTGATTGGATATGCTAAAAGGGGAGTTAAAAATTGCCCAGAAGAAAGAGACTTTTTGTTTTAAGCCTTTGTAGAGTATAGGGCTTAGGTGGATACCTGAACACCACTCAGAACTTTTGAGAGAACAGGAGATTTACCTGTGAAGGAAAGACCTACAGAAAGAAAAATGACTGGCAATTTGAAATTTGTGCAAGATGTTTGTAGTTGGATGCATTGAGGCAAGGAAAGTCTGTGCCCAGCATAAAAAACAAAACAAAAAACTATTCTAGAAGTGGAAGTTAAAGGGAGCAAGTGAGTAGACAGCCAGATATGTTCATTGGTGACCACCTGGATCCACTTGTTGCTTGTAAGTGGGGGACTATGCAGAGATGAAGAAATGGCTGAGTGAAGAAGGACTGGTGGGTCTGAAATTCAGGGAGTTTTGTGAATTCTGTAGGCACCCATCTAGCTCACATGGGCTAGGGCTGAGAGAAAGTCTGTTCTAGATAATATCTCCACAAATTTCCAAGTAACACAAAGGGATACTGTAGTGGTGGTGCCATCTTTGGAGTCAGGCAGGCCCAGATAGTAAATTCAACTCCGGAATTTGCTGCATTCTACCACCTTTTGCTGTTGTTGCTAAGTGCCATTGAGTAGGTTCTGTTGTCATTGCCAATTTGATCCCACATAAAAGTTGAGTTGATTTAGACTCATAGTGAATCTATAGGGCAGAGTAAAACTGCTCTATAGGACTTCCAAGACTGTAAATACAGGAGTAGATAGCCTTCTTATTGTCCTGTAGAGTACCTGATGAGTTTTCCTTCAGAATGTCTGATCAGTGACCTCTCAGTTAGCAACCCAATGCTTAACCCACTACAACACCTGGACTCCTTTTGATGCTCTATAGATAGATTTTAAAAGAGCATAATGCCCAAGGTAGACAGTATTTACTATTTAAGCTATAAACTGTTGTTTTGGCTTCATTTTGCAGTTACTTACATCTGTTATCTCATTGCATCGTTGAACCCTTATTAGTAACTGGTAAATATTGCCATTCTGACTCATGATGACCCCTTGTGTGGCACAGCCTTTCTTTCAAGCCTCAAACTCTAGAGGTAAATAAGATAGATGATGTTATTGCTCATTTTATAGAGGGAGAAGCTAAGAATAAGCAAGTTCATTGATTTCTTCAAGGTAAGACTTCAACCCAGATTTTCATTCCCGAATCTGCTTTCCCTTACTATAATGCCTCCTTTTTTTAAATAATGTGCCTACTACTCCTGAAATATGCCAAGCACACAGTATGTATTATCAGTTGATTGCTTTGAAATAGATTGTCTGTGTTCAACCCCCTAGTCACAGTTTCTTTAAGAAAGTTATGCAATTAATATTTAGCTAGTTAATTAATTGAGCCATGATGTGGTGTTGTAGGATAAACATTGGACTGGTTACTGGATATTCATCAGTTCAAACCTACTAGCTGCTCTTGGAAACACCCTGTACAGGGTCTCTAAGAATCAGAACCAAGTTGATGACACATAAAAACAACAACATCAAATTAATTAATTAATTGAGGAGCTTTATTAGAATTAACATTGAAGCTGGAGTTTTTCAAAGGAGCAACATGTTTGATCAAAAGATTTGAATTTTAGACTACTGACTATTATTGTGTTAGTAATATTTGGTTTCTTTTTATTTTTACAGGAGAGATTAAACAGATTCTAGAAAATGAGCTTCAGATACCTGTGTCTAAAATGCTGTTAAAAGGCTGGAAGACTGGAGATGTGGAAGACAGTGTGAGTTTCTTAATTGCTTAGAAATAAAAGAAAATCGTTGTTACTAGTTTTATGATATATTAATATTGATTTAACTTAATGTTGCATATGACAGAAGTATAATTTAGTTGAGAAGAAAGAGCATTCCAGAACACTTATTTGTGATCGTGAGAGACCTGTACATAGACCAAGAGACAGTTGTTTGAACAGAATAAGGGAACACTGAATGGTTTTAAATCAGGAAAGGTATGCACCAGGGTGTATTTTTTCACCATACTCATTCAGTCTGTATGCTGAGCACATAATCTGGGAAGCTGGATTATATGAAGAAAAACTAGGCATTAGGATAAGAGAGAGACTCATTAACAACTTGTGATATGCAGATGATACAACCTTACTTGCTGAAAGTGAAGAGGATTTAAAATACTTAACTGTTGAAGATCAAAGACCACAGCCTTTGGTATGGGATGTACATCAATGTAAATAAAACAAAAATCCAAATAAAAAGAAAAAAAAACAAACCCTCACACTGTGCCAATAAATAACATCAAGGTAAACAGAGAAAAGACGGAAGTTGTCAAAGATTTCATTTAGCTCAGATCAGCCAATCAACACTCAAGACATATTGTATTAAGCACATCTGCTTCACAAGACTTATTGAGAGTGTTCAAGATCAATGACAGCAGTTTGAAGACTAAGGTGCGCTTGACCCATGCTATGGTATTTTTCAATCACCTCATATGAAAGTTGGACGATGAATAAGGAAGACCATAGAAGAGTTAATACATTTGAGTTATGGTGTTAGAGGAGAATATTTAAAGTACAGCCAGAATGCGCCTTAGAAAACAGGATGGTGAGACTTTGTCTCTCATAGTTCAGACACACTATCAGAAGGGACCAGTCCCTGTAGAAGGACATCATGCTTGGTAAAGTGGAAAGTCAGCAAAATAGAAGAAGACCCCCAACATGAAGATTTGGCATGGTTTCTTTCATCAACACACATTTTTCTTTCTTGCAGAGATTTCTTAAGAATTTTAAGATATACAGAATGGGGCCCGGATTCTATCTGATCCATCCCCTTCAATTCCTTACTGCCTCTTCCCAGCCTTATGGTACTGTAGGAAAAACACTGCACTGCTAACCATAAGGTTGGTGGTTCCAACCCACCAGTCATTCCTCTCAAACCCTACATAGGGTCCTTGTGAGTTGGAGCTCATCTGACAGCACTTAGCAGCAGTAATAGCAACAAAGTAAGTAAAATGGGTGCACTTAGTAAATAAGGTGGATTCTCTCCTGACAGGGTCCATAGTGACTTCCTCATATTCCATATTTGAGTATGATCACCGTAGCGTAGTGATTATGAATCGGGCTGCAACTTCAGGGACAGCAGTTCAAAACTACCAGCTGTTCCGTGGGAGAAAGATGAGGCTTTCTTGACTATTACTACAGATGACGTATATATGCTCTGGTCTAAGAGCAATCCCCCGAGTATGTTTTCAAGCCTATTCAAGGACTTGTCTTTAATTCTTCCCTGTCTCTCTTGGCATCATCACCTTTTTTATTCCTTTAAAAGTGCATTGGTATTAACATTCAAGTATGCTGTTTTTCCTTCCATTTTAAAGTTAAATTTTCTTATGTCCTACCCAGTAATGTCTTTACTCTCCTTGATAATAAGACTTCCCTGGAACAGTTGTTAATATTTATTTTTATTTATTGTTTGTATTTTTCGTGTCCAACTCCTCCCATTTTCTGTTGAGCCAAGTTCAAGTAAAAACCTTGACTGCTTTGGCTCTTGTCAAGATCACCAATGAATGCACCACTTAAGTTCAGTGTGGTTTTGCTTTTCTAGAAAACTTGACCTAAGACAGCATTTAAAACTGCCAATCTTGCAGTTCAAATGAACCTTGCAGTTCAGCGCATTAACCCAGTGTCGCATCAGGACTCCGTATATATGTAGAGAAAGAGAGAAGTTCATTATCAAAGAAATGGCTCATAATTGCAGACTCCCAGGTCCCCAGTGGAAGAGAGAGAGAAGGGAGTCCCTCTCATGTGTCCATTATATTAGGAGTAGACCACACCCCCAAGGAAGCATCCCTTCATTTGATTGGCTGCTCATAGCCGCTCATCATAGCATTAACTATGCCTACATTAGGTTTCATCACCATGGGAAAAAGCACATCTTTACTGCTAAACCTCTGGAAATCCTGGCCTAGTCAAGATGACACAGAAACCTAATCATTACAGTCCACCCTTGTAAACTATAATTATATACATAACCTCTGAAAAGAGAAAATTGTAAAGTCGTACTTGTGCTTGACATGATATAACTAAAATGCGTACAACTGAAAATACACTGGTCTTGTTTTCATCTTAATTGTCACAAATCAACAAAGCAAAAGTATTTGATGCACACATGCAAAGCAAAACAAAAATATACATTCATTCAAAAGTCCAAAGGGTATAATGCAAGACACATAGCTTTACTCAGTCCATGGCCTCTCTTTCCAAGTCATCACCTCTGCTGCAGTCTTTGCTGTTGCCTCTTTTCCAGGCAATGATCTTTTCCTTAATGATCATCCTGGGATCATGTGTTCCTGAAATGGAAGATAACTTCTCCCTTTCAGTTACAGATCTTCTACAATTATAGTTCTGACGATCACAATTAATCCTACTAAAGGTTATTCAAAATTTGAAATCATAAAAGACTATCAGTATCACCCCCCATCCCCTTTCACCAGATCCATATGAAAAAGAGGAAATCTAGTCAGTGGGAATTCTCCCTTAACCCCTCACTCTAAAACTAAGCATACCCATGAAAGCTTTTAAGCCAGCCACTTCCTGTCTTTATAGCTCCCTCCCCACTGTCATTTTTATAACCAATGTCTAAATTGCCCATCTCTATCAACCCAGTGCACTGAGGAGACAAGCATTTTCCTTGATCCAAAGAATCTTCCATTCTGATTGGAATTTTGAGCAACTGCATTCATAAGCAAAAGTCCAGTCCAACAAATTGTAGCAATTCACAGTTGTTCACAGTATTAAACATCTTCATCCTTATTTTGTCAGGTTCTGGTCAACTCAACCCTAGCTATCCAAGCTAGGTCAAATGGGTACCAGTATACATTTGGGAGTTCACACACTCCACTTCAAACCAGCTGGCACCTTCTCTCTCAGCCTTAGCCCCCATGGGCTAAGATCAGTGCCCATGGGCTCAGGCTTTCACACAACTCCCTAAACTTCAAACTAGCCAGCTTTCTTGATCCTTTTATTTCAAGGTCAGTGGGTGCCAATATAACATGTTCAAACTCAGCTTATGTCTTTAATGCTGCATTTCCCCAAATTCCACTCAACACATAGACCCAGGTGGTCACCAGCGAGCATATGGCTCTGGTTCCCTTTTACTTTTAGCCCTAGAAGGGGTCTTCTCTGATAGGCTGACTTTCCTTGCCTTGATGCCAGCAAAATTAAAAAACACCAAACTGCCTGCTTTTTTTCTCTGCTTGAATTTCCTGTTCTCCCAGCAGTTCTGGGTTGGTCTGCATGTCTTTTCAAATGCAAATTTCCCATCTCTGAAGTTTCTAGATAGGCTTTTGGATTCTACTAAAGCCCTTTACTATAACATGTCTTAAAGCTACAAGCCTATTTTTTCAGGGCAAATTCTAACTCCCCTTTTAGAAAATCCAATCAAGTATTGGCTGAAGATAGGCTAACAAGCTCAATGTAATCATAATTTCCAATATTCCTTTCACAACTGTATGTCTTATTTTATGAGAATGGGCAAGAGAAGCCAATATTCAAAAGGCTGTTAAACATATGAACCGTTTAAAATAATCAAGTTCCCTTGTACTAACCCCATTCATATGCACATGGATGGGTAGATTCCAGTAGGCCCAAGCCCATTATCAGCCATACTTTTAAACTAGCATGTCATTGGCTCTAGGTGATTTCAGAAGCTGCTGTTGAAGATAATTAAAAAATACCTGCAGTTCTCCTCTACACTTAGGTCTTTTATCCCATGCCCCTTTGTTCTTTCTCTCCAAAAACCTCACAATTTTATAGGTCTGGAGCCATTACAGTGAATCCTGTTCACAGTGCCAGCTGCTTAAACCAAGTGTGGACCATGTTTGACATCCTCTGACTACACAAGAGAAAAACAGAACAAAACTCAAAATTGGCCCAAGACAATTCCTGTGAAGTGGCGGTCAGACATGCTTCTACCCTATATCAATGCCTTTAAAATTAGACAGACTTGAGAACCAATTTAATTCATGATTTTGTTTCTGTTTAACCCCACTCTCTTAGTACCACATGTCTTAGGACAGGTGTTCTAGAGAAGAAGCAAAACCAGTGAATACACACACACACACACACAGATTTTTTTTTTTTTTTTATCAAGGAAATGGCTCACAAGTCCCAAGCTCACAGTCCCAAGTCCCCAGTGGAGGAGAGAGAAAAAGATTTCCTCCCACGTGCCCTTTATATTGGGAGGAGACCACACCTCTAAGGAAGCATCCCTTTAATTGACTGGCTGCTCATAGCCACTGTATCATAGAGTTTAACTATGCTTGTATTTAGGTTTCATCACCATGGGAATGAACATATCCCAACTTTTAAACTTCTGGAATCCTCCCCTAGTTGCGTTGACACAGAAACCTAGCCATAACAAATAATATTTATATAAATTTTTAGTTTTATATCTAATTTATATCCTGTTATCATCTCTATTTCAATGTCTATTAGATATTTCAAACATAATATGCCCCAAAAGAAGTTTTCATTTGCAGTTTTCCTAATTTCTGTTGATGGCAGCATCTTCTTTCCAGTTCTGCAGTCCACAATTCCTTGTTGTTTCTTAGCTGTTTTGTACGGTTTTCTCTGCATGAAACATTCTTAGTTTGTTTCTTTACTACCTTTGATAATTTGCTCCAATATCATATTCACCAAGTGAGACACACCCCAAACTGCCAAGCTCCCCAACCCCGTATTTTTCATCCACTTTCCCTGATTTGTGTGTAACAATTGAAAGTGCCACCTACTAATACCATATTATATAATGCAGTTTCCATCAAGTTGGTTTCAACTTATGGTAACCCTACAATATAGTATGTTGTTATTATTGTTAAGTGCCGTCGAGTTGGTTCTGACCCATAGCGACCCTGAACAGGGTTTCTGAGGCTGTAAATCTTTACGGGAACAGAAAGCCTCATGTTTCTCCCGCGGAGCAGCTGGTAGTTTCAAACTGCTGACCTTGTGGTTCGCAACCCAATTTGTAACCAAAGCTCCTTACAATATAATATAGCTATCTCTTTTTATTTGTTTTTATTAAAATGCAAGCTTCACAAGATCAAGAATTTTGACAATCACACAAGGTAAGTGACTCAGTAAATCTGCATATTAGTGTGTCCTGGGTTTACCATGTAAAATGTATTTTAAATCTGCATATTAGTGTTACTGGGTTTACCATGTAAAATGTATTTATAAATGAGTATTGCTATAAAAAACAGTTTGAAGTTCACTAGCCAATCTTTACCATTAAGTTGAGAGTAAAATCTATATACGAGTTCTGTGGCAAAGAAATTCACTGCAATTTCCTGTGGTTGGTTGTCAAATTGGTGGATCATATATAAACTAAGAGTAGTTGATTTACCCCAAACTGAGAGCTTTAGCAAAACAATCTCTGGAGTAAGAGCTAAGAAGCATGGATGAACCTCGAGGACATTATACTAAGTGAAATGTTAGTCATGAAAGAACAAATATTGTAAGAGACCAATATTGTAAAAATTGAAGAAAAGGTTTCCACACCAAATGAAACATTCTTTAATTGCTCCCAGGAGAGGGAGGAGAAAGAGGATCAAATCACTAACTAGAGTAAGAGGCACGTATTAACTTGGGAGGTGGGGAAGGCAAAATAAATGTAGGTAAAAATGGTGTTGGTTGTATGGATTGTCTTTGTTATGTTAATGCAGTAGGGTTGTTTAGTGCAGTTGAGTTGGTTCTAACTCATAGTGAGCTTGGTAGGGTTTCCAAGGAGCAATTGGTAGGCTTGAACTGCTGACCTTGTAGTTCACAGTCCAGTGTTGATCCTACAGTGCTACACCAGAAATGCAGGGTCAGGGTAGACTATATCTTGAGTCAGTGCCTTTTTTGATATAAATAAAGTTTAATTAAGCTGTTTCAAGACATGGAGATCTCCAAGGAAACAGAAAACAGAAGCTGAAGAGACAAAGATCTTCCTCCAGAGCCAAGAGAGAAAGCCTTACCCCTTAAGCCAGCAAGCACTCTGAATTTGGATTAAATGTGAGAACACTAATTTCTGTTTGTTAAAGCTATCTACTTGTAATATTTCAATATAACAGCACTAGATAATGAAGACAGAATTTGATATCGGAAGAGTTGGGTGCTTCTCTAAAAGATACTTAAAATGTGGAAGCAATTTTAGAATTGGGTAATGGATAGAGGCTGGAAGAGGTTTTTTTTAAAGTGCTTGATAGTGTAAGCCTACATTGCTTTGAAGACACTGTTGGGAAATTTATGGGCTTCAAAGACATTTCTGGTAAGGGCTCAGAAATCTAAATCTAAATATATTGTTGTTAAGTACTATGGAGTCTGTTCTGGTCCATAGTGACCCCGTATAGGGTTTCTGAGGAGTGGCTGGTGAGCTTGAACCACCGACCTTGTGGATCAAATTGACTTTGCAGTCCAGCGCATTACCCCACAGTGCCACACCAGGAATTTTTAAGTCCTACAGCACCTGATAAGGAGCTCTGGTAGCGTAGTGATTACGAGTTGGGCTGCCAACCTCAAGGTTAGCAGTTGGAAACTACCAGAAAGATGAGACATTCTGCTCCTGTAAAGATTTACAGCCGGAACCGAATCCAAGGTACTTAACAACAACAACAGCACCTGATATTCCCAATCTGTCTCCCATCCAAGTGCTAGGCAGACCCGACCCTGCTTAGCTTCCAAGATCAGACAAGATTGGGTGCATTCAGGGTAGAATGGGTGTAGACTTCTCACATTTAGGAGACCAAAAGTCCAAATGCAGCGTACTGGCTTTAAGGGAAGACTTTGTCTCTTTGTGTCTTGGCATCTATGTTACCCCACCTCTCTGTCTCTGTTTGCTGTTTTATCTCTTTTTATATCTTAAAGAGATTGACTCAAGATACCAGGTAAGTCAAAAAGTATTGCTACAAAAAAAAATCACAGACACTTTTATCAAAAAAAAAAAAAAAAAATCCAAACTTGAAACTATTGTTTCTTGATATGTCTTCCACCTAGGGCTATCTACTTCTGAAGGTTGTGTTTCCATCTCTCTAACCCTTCCCTGAATAATTCTGTGCTCATCAATTTATACCCTGCCAAAATGGCAGCTTTGGTATCCTTGAGGGACTCAAAGCTTTAAAAATGTTCTTTAGCTTGCGGTACAAATGGAAGTCTGATGGACAAGATCAGAGTTGTAGGGTAGATGGTGTTAGGTTTCTCAACAGAATTCTTGGAGCACAGCCCTGTTGTCATAGAATGAGCAGGTTCTTTGTGATGAAAAAATATTACTCAGGGCCATCTTCCATGGCCTTTTTCTCACCAGTGCAATTTTCAATATTCTTGAAACATCTTCCTAATAAGCCCCTGTGATCATCCTGTATTCTTCAAGAAAATTTATCAAGATTAGCCTTTTCCCATCCCAAAAAAACTCTTGGCCATAGCCCTCTGAACTGACCTCTCTGCCTTGCATTTTACTAGTCCAGCAGATTCCCTTGGAAACCACTGTTTTGAGCAGATTTTTTTTTTTTTTTGAAGGCACTCTAACAAGACTAAGTTAAGTGTGTTAATGAGAAAACTTGTCTGCAGCTACCCACTGGTTGTAGTTACATGTGTAAACACATTTTGCTTGGAGTAAACTCATGCATGTATGAACTGAAACCCTAGTGGGAATACTGTTTGACTTACCCTCATATATGAAGGACTCAAGGCTATTTGGATTTAATAGATCTTGTGTGTTACTCTATTTAGGAAATTGCCAAGAAATGAAGTGGTAATTTAAAAGTTACCAATTTTTTGAGAACTATAGAAAAAATTAATAATGCATGATCAACATTCAATTTTTGTTTTCCTTTTTTCTTTTTCAGACGGTCTTAAAATCGCTACACTTGCCAAAAAACAACAGTCTTTACGTCCTTACACCTGACTTGCCACCACCTTCATCATCTAGTCACGCTGGGTAAGGTGTTCATGTTTCTTGGGAATCTGAAATGAAAGTTTGTTTCTTGAAACTTCAAAATTTGCACTGACATCAAAATTAAAAAAAAAAATTGAATCTTTAACTTATCTACATTTATCAGTTTTCAAATGATTTGGTTTGTAAAGTATTTTTGTTTTATTTTAATACTGAAATCTCCTTTTCAAAGGGATTCTTTAGCAAAGCATCAGTATGTAAAACAATAATCTTTGAACTTTGATGAAGAAAAAGATTAGAATTGGAAGAAAGAAGTAAGACTAAATGGAACTCCAACCTCTTCATGACTTAAGGCATATCTATGAGAAAAATTCATTGGACTCTCTGTAGGATACAGCCTGAAAAACATCAATTATAAATTTTTAAGTAATATTTTCTATTCAGAATTTAGGATCTCATTCTCTTTTCAGTTTTCATAATGAAATTTATTTTATTGGTGGAATAAAATTAATTATTTCTATATTATAAATTAAGGAGCTCTGGTAGCATAGTGGTTATGAATCAGGCTGCTATCCTCAAGGTCTGCAGCTACCAGCTGTTCTGCAGAAGAAAGATGAGGCTTTCTGCTCCCGTAAAGATTTGCAGCCTTGGAAACCCTGTGCAGGGTCACTATGAGTCAAAACCAACTCGATGGTACTTAACAACAACAACATATTATAAATGAACTTTATTATCCCTAGGTGAGTGAAGCAAATTGATTTGTAGTGAATGATTAATCTTTTAATACAGTACTCATATTGTCTAAAACTATGTGTTTTGGGTTGTTTCTAGATTTTCATAGGTCCCTGATGGTGCAAGCAGCTTGTGATCAGCTGCTAACCTAAAGGTTGGACATTCAAACTACCCAGTGTGTTCTAGAAGAAAGGCCTGGTGGTCTGCTTCCTATAAAGATAATGGCCAAGAAAACCCTATGGAACAGTTCTACTCTGGAACATAGGGTCACCATGAGTTTAAATTGACTTAATGGCAATTGTTTATGTGTTATTTTTTTTTTTTATTTGTGTAATAATTTTCACAGTTTTTATACACTTTTTATTTCTTTAACACAACTTAAGTGATTCTGTTTTAGGGAGTGTGTGGCTCTTGCATCCCTAAAGCTTGTACTATTGCCAACCTTTTCCCTCACTACTTACTGAATAGCTTCATTATTAGATTGCAAAAAGAAAATGACAGTTGACTTTACCAAAGTAGAAATTGCTCAATTGAAAAATTAAATCTGATGTAAATGTATTTAATATTCTGTTAATAGTTTCTTTTACATTAGGATTTCTTAACTTTTTGTCTTCTATGTTTACATCATATGTTAATGGGGAGTGAAATTTGCATAATATTACAAAACAGCCAATTGGTTCTTGTAGTCCTTATGCTTATTGTGATGTTGATATAAACCTCATATGAGATTTTAAGTTAAACAGTTAAGGGTCTGATGCTGTATCTAGTCAGGTAGAACCTTGTTTTGTAGGTTAGTTAACAAAGTATTATCACAGTCATACAAGATGTAATCCACATAATTAAAAGCAGACAAGAGACATTAGTTGTTATAATCTATTGCTTTCCAGTAGTATAATTAAATGGATTTATCAAAATGTCTTTCTGAGCTAATGGAAATGTTTTTCATTGCCATTTGGCTGACCTTGGTTTGATTGCCAATATTTCAGTTTCTGGGCAAACTTGGACCTAGAATGCTGCTGAAATACAGTGTTTCTTAGAGAACGAATACTTCATATAGCACCAAAGTACTCTCCCACCACTGCCTAACTTAATGGGTTTTTACCCAGTGAGTTGGAACTTACTTAACAGCATTTAACAATGACACTGTTAAAGGGTATGCCTTGTCGTAACAATAAGAAAGAGAAATATTCAAAGCCAAACAAAGACATAGAAGACAGAGAGAGTATTTCGGTGATGGGAAGGAGGGCATGTAGAGACTTCAATCAGTGTGAAAGCCATAGATTAAAGCTTATTTTATTAAAACCCAACTGAAAGACTAAGGTTATTTCTTACAGTTTGTTTTTCTCACAATTCTTTCTATAGAGGTTATTTTTAATTTTGTTTGTTTGTATGCATATCTTAATTGTTGATTTAAAGTGTGAAAAAACAACCAAAACACTATATTATCTATGCAGAATCTTAACAGTTCATGTTGAGATCTGTTGCTGTCCAGTCAATCCTGACTCATAGTGACCCTGTAGAAAAGAGTAGAACTGCCCCATAGGCTTTCTAAGAGTGTAGCTCTTTATTGAAGCAATCTACCGTATCTTATTCCTATGGAGCCACTGGTGGCTCAAACTGCCAATTTTTCAGTTTGCAGCTGAGTGCTTAACACTGTGCTGCCAGAGCTCCTTACAAGTAAATAGTAGTAATTATTTTTAAGTTGTAGTTTTCATTCATTAAAAATGTCAAACATAATAAAGGTTTCTATGGCTTTTTAGCAAGCAGAAATAAGTAGTAAAAAAAATTAGCAAACAAAATTGGTGTTAAACTCCATGTTGTTGTTGTTGTTAAGTGTTGTTGTTGAGTCGGTTCCAACTCTGTATAGGGTTTTTGAGGAGCGGCTGGTGAGTTTGAACTGTGGACCTTGCAATTCAAACTGACCTTATGGTCAAGTGTTTATCCTACAGTGCCATACCAGGACTCTGCTAAGCTCCATAATGAATCAAATTTATTTGTTTTTAAAGTATTTTGTTATAATTGTTGTATTCATAAAAATCTTATTTGCAATTAGTAACCTAATTTATAATCTAAAAAGGAGAAAAAGTGAAGTTGTTCTGATTCAGACTTGAACACTTGCAAGTAAATAGAACTCAGAAATTGGTATAGAAAAATTCAAGTTTTGTGTACATATTACCCCTAGCCTTTTCTTTGCCTCAGATTTAGGATAAATAAATATGGTATATTTTATTTTAGTGGTTGGTTTGATTCTAGTTGGTACCATTGTTTTGTTTTTTTTCTAAAGTGAGTTCAGGGCTTATTCAGTGCCGCTGAACTCCACCATTCCAACTCCACTACAATGACAAACATTAAGTTGTTTCTTTATAAAGTATCAGTCTTCTTTAAAAGCAGTCGGTAACATTAGAAATATAGTATAGCTTCTAAAAAAGACTTATTTATAACCAAGTCAGTAAAGTGATATGATTGTAATATATATCTTCAGACAGAAGACATTAGGGTATAATGAGAAAAAGCCTGAATTTCTATCCCAGCTTTTAGATTTTACATTTATAAAATGAGAAGTACTGTTTCCAAGTGCTAGAGTGGTTATAAGAAATTCTGTAAGTGGTACATTATATGTGAAAGCACAAACTGCAAAGTACAGTAGTTTAAATTATTCAATTTGCGATTCCTGGTGTGGTACTGTAGGATTAACACTGTACTGCTAACTACAAGGTCAGTGGTTGAAACCTACCAGCTGACCCTCGGAAAAGCTGTATAGAGTTGCTATGAGTCAGAACTAACTAAATGGCACTTAGCAACAACAATAAATACCAAAGGAACCCATGCCACAATTGCCAAGTGCTCATCTGCTAACTGAAAGATCAGTGGTCTCAACCCACCAGCCACTCCACAGGAGAAAGATGTGGCAGTCTTCCTCTGCAAAGATTTACAGTCTTGGAAACCCCATGAGGCAGTTAGTTCTACTTTGTCTTATAGGACCTCTGTGATTCCAAATCAACTCAATGGCAGCTTTTATTGTTAATAAATACCAATAACAACACTGTTAATTCAAATCTCATCTTGATTTTTTTTTTTTTTATAACTACTATGCAAGGATGCAGGCAGATTTTGATAGTCCTGGTGTGGCACTGTGGGTTAATACACTGGACTACCAGTTGCTCTTTGGAAACCCTATAAAGGGCACTATGGATTGGAACCAACTCAACGGCACTTAACAACAGCAACATTTTATAGATGTGTAATTGTTCAAGGTTAGCAGTATTTACTTTGAGGATTGTGCTCCTTCTACTATATATAACTCTTAGCTTCTTAAAATAAATACATCCAAAGTTTAATTTAAATACTCCTTTTGAGACTGCTCTCTAAAATGAGAATTTAAAAAAATGTGTGTTTTGTTCTTAAGCGCTCTGGAGTGCATTTGCATACTTTATATATGTATATAATTCTCCTCAAGGATATTCATGAACGTTCAGTGTATGAATTTATTCCTAGTTACAATACATTATTATTATTATTATTTTTTTTTTTTTTTAATTTAAGGTTTTTATTGTGGATCGAGTGAAAGTTTACAGTGCACATCATCAGTTTCACATTCAACAATTCATA